TACTGAATGGGCAAAAGCTGGAAGCATTCCCTTTGAAAACCGGCACAAGACAAGGATGCCCTCTCTCTCCAGTCCTACATAGTATTGAAAGTTCTGGATAGGGCAATCAGGCAAGAGAAAGAAATAACAGGTATTCAAATAGGAAGAGAGGAAGTCAAATTGTCTCTGTTTGCAGATGACATGATTGTATATTTAGAAAATCCCATTCTCTCAGCCCAAAATCTCCTTAAGCTGATAAGCAACTTTAGCAAAGTCTTGGGATACAAAATCAATGTGCAGAATTCACAAGCATTCCTATACACCAGTAATGGACAAGCAGAGAGCCAAATCATGGGTGAACTCCCATTCATAATTTCTACAAAGGGAATAAAATACCTAGAAATACAACTTACAAGGGATATGAAGGAGCTCATCAAGGAGAACTACAAACCACTGCTCAAGGAAATAGGAGAAGACACAAACTAATGGGAAAACATTCCATGCTCATGGATAGGAAGAATCAATTGTAAAAATGGCCATTCTGGTCAAAGTAATTTATAGATCCAATGTTATCCCCACCAAGCTACCACTGACTTTCCTCACAGAATTAGGAAAAAAGCTACTTTAAATTTCATTTGGAACCAAAAAACAGCCCACATAGCAAGACAATTCTAAGCAGAAAGCAGAAAACTGGAGGCATCACGCTGCCTAAATTCACACTCTATACTACGAGGCTGATGTAGCCAAAACAGCATGGCACTGGTCTCAAAGCAGGTATATAGACCAATGGAACAGAACAGAGGCTCAGAAATAACGCCACACATCACAACCATCTGATCTTTGACAGCTGACAAAAACAAGCAATGGGGAAAGGATTCCCTATTTAATAAATGATGTTGGGAAAACTGGCTGGGCATATGCAGGAAAGTGAAACTGGACCCCATCCTTACACCTTATACAAAAATTAACTCAAGACGGATTAAAGACTTAAACTAAGACCTAAAACCAGAAAAACCCTAGAAGAAAATCTAGGCAATACCATTCAGGACATAGGCATGGACAAGGACTTCATGACCAAAACACCAAAAGCAATGGCAACAAAAGCCAAAATTGACAAATGGGATCTAATTAAACTAAAGAGCTTCTAGACAGCAAAAGAAAATATCATCAGAGTGGACGGGCAACCTACAGAATGAAAGAAAATTTTTGCAATCTATCCATTGGACAAATAGCTAATATCAACAATCTGCAAGGAATTTAAACAAATCTACAAGAAGAAAACAAACAACCCCATCAAAAAGTGGGCAAAGGATATAAACAGACACTTCTCAAAAGAAGACATTTATGTGGCCAAGAAACATATGAAAAATAGCTCACCATCACCGGTCATTAGAGAAATGCAAATCAAAACCACAATGGGATACTATCTCACACCAGTTAGAATGGTGATCATTAAAAAGTCAGGAGACAATAGATGCTGGAAAGGATGTGGAGAAATAGGAATGCTTTTACACTGTTGGTGGGAGTGTAAATTAGTTCAACAATTGTGGAAGACAGTGTGAAAATTCCTCAAGGATCTAGAACCAGAAATACTATTTGACCCAGCAATCCTATTACTGGTTATAAACCCAAAGGATTATAAATTATTCCACTATAAAGACACATGCACACGTATGTTTATGGTGGCACTATTTACAATAGCAAAGACTTGGAAGCAACCCAAATGCCTATCAATGGTGGACTGGATAAAGAAAATGTTCCACATATACACCATGGAATACTATGCAGCCATAAAAAAGAATGAGTTCATGTCTTTTGTAGGAACATGGATGAAACTGGAAACCATCATTCTCAGCAAACTAACACAGGAACAGAAAACCAAAACACCTCATGTTCTCACTCATAAGTGGGAGTTGAACACTGAGAACACATGGACACAGGGAAGGGAACATCACACACTGGGGCCTGTCAGGGATGGGGGGATTGCGAAGGGACAGCATTAGGAGAAATACTTAATGCAGATGACGCGTTGATGGTTGCAGCAAACCACCATGGCACGTGTATACCTATTAACAGATCTGCACATGCAGCACATGTATCCCAGAACTTAAGGTATAATTTTAAAACACTGAAGTAAGTATATTTATTGTAATTCTCTATACTTTTATGTTTTATTTTTTTTAGAGACAGGTTCTCACTATGTTGTCCAGGCTAGAGTGTAGTTGTGTGATCACAGTTCATTGCAGCTCAATCACCTAGGCTCCAGCAATCTTCCCATCTCAGCCTCCCAAGTAGCTGGAACTACAGGCCCATGCCTCGGTGCCCAGCTAATTTTTAGGGTTTTTTTGTAGAGATGGAGACTGTGTTGCTCAGGCTGGTCTCAAACTCCTGGCCTTAAGCAATCCTTCTGCCTCAACCTCACAGGTGTGAGCCATAGCACCTGGCCTGTAATTCTGTTTAAAAAGAAGTTGATTGACTTTTACAAAAGTTTTATAAATCATAACTGTTGGCAGTTGTATAGCCAGTCAAATGTTTGTTTTTTGTTTTTTGTTTTTTTGAGATGGAGTTTCACTCATGTTACCCAGGCTAGAGTGCAATGGCGCAATCTCAGCTCACCGCAACCTCCGTCTCCTGGGTTCAGGCAATTCTCCTGCCTCAGCCTCCTGAGTAGCTGGGATTACAGGCACGCACCACCATGCCCAGCTAATTTTTTGTATTTTTAGTAGAGACGGGGTTTCACCATGTTGACCAGGATGGTCTCGATCTCTTGACCTCATGATCCACCCGCCTCGGCCTCCCAAAGTGCTGGGATTACAGGCTTGAGCCACCGCGCCCGGCCCAGTCAAATGTTTTATAGATATTACTTGTTTAATGCTTACAATAGTCTCATAAAATACAGAGCCAGGCAATATTACCCCCATTTAACATATGCAAATTAAAGTGTCAGGCATAAAAATAGCCCATCTAGGGTCATGCAAATAATAAATGGTAAAGCAAAAGCAAGAAATCACGCCTTACAAATTATAATTAATTGCCTTTTCTATTATACCACATGACAAAGAATATGCAGATAGTCTTAGAGAACTACGTGGAAAGAGATTCAGATATGAAGGGTTAGTGAAACCATTTTCCTCACTTTCAATGAATAACGGTTCTCAAAGATTTCAAAAGAAAGTTTGCTTCTTTCCGAAAGAATACGGCGGGCTTTCAAACCAGTTTGAGATTAAAAGGCACTGGAGAAATATGAAGCCAGACATTTCTTCTTACTCCTCAAAACCACTGTCCTCTGGTAGGTAGAAGGGAAGGAAGAACGAAAATTCAGGCTTCAACAGTATTCTCTGCATCCAAGGCTTCCAAACAAAAGCAATGGTTTATTTCATTCACTCACAGTATTTTTTAGTATCTTCTCTGTGTTCAAGACACTGCTAAATTCTGGCTAGAAAGTACTTAATAAAATAGACACATTCTCAGTCCTTGTGAAATGCTCATCTGGAAAAAATAGCCTCTAAGCAACTAGGCACATAAATTAACATTATTACAATGATGATAACTCTCTAGGGGAAAAAAACATTGTACTATTAATATAAAAACTGACAGGAAAGCCTCAATCTAGATTATAAGTGAGTCAATGAAACTCCTAAGGAAGTGACATTTGAACTGAGGGACACGGGTGACCAAAAGTCAGTAAGAAGGCAAAAGGGGATGGTGTGTGCAAAAGCTTTAAGGCAAGAAAAAGGTTTTGCATCTGAGTAACCAAAAACAAGCTGGTTTGACTAGAACACGTTAAACAGGGCTTAGTAGCATTGGATATCAGGGAAGAAGACAGGGACCAGGCCTTGTGGCTACTGAACCAGACAGCGACTCAGAGTACCATGGCTGCTGTCTGGAGGATGGATAGGAGGAGCAGCATGAGAGGATGTGGGGTAACTGGTCCAAAGGAGAGATCGCGGTGATTTGGAGGGAGTCATAGCCATGTAGTTAGGGAAAAGGGCATGGATTTGAGGTACATTTAGAATTCATAATCAGTGTAAGTTTGGTGAGTGACTAAGAATTCAAGGTGATAGGAACTGAAATATCAAGAATGACTTCTCTAGCTAGGTGTGGTGGCTCACACCTGCAATCCCAGCACTTTGGGAAGCTGAGGCGGGTGCATTATCTGAGGTCAGGAGTTCAAGACCAGCCTGGCCAACACGGAGAAACCCTGTCTCTGCCAAAAACACAAAAAATCATCTAGACATGGTCATAGGCACCTGTAGTCCCAGCTACTCATGAGGCTGAGGCAGGAGAATCACTTGAACCTGGGAGATGGAGGTTGCAGTGAGCCAAGGTCACACCATTGCACTCCAGCCTGGTCAGCAAGAGCGAAATTCCATCTCAAAAAAAAACAATGACTTCTCATGTTTCCGGCTTAAGTGGCTGAGTAGATAAAGCTTACATTTAGAGAAAGAGATAGAGAAACTGAAAGAGTAGATTTAGCTGGACGGTGGCGAGAAATGGAAAACAAGAGCTCACTCGTAGCTATCTTAAATTTGATATACACAGAGTACATCCAAGTGGAGACTGTCAAGTAAGTAGATAGATATTAATTCTGGAGGTTATGAGACATTTTTTCTGCATATAAAAAATGTGGAGAGTTGCTGACATTTATACAAGGCTTAAGACAATGGAAATGGATGCGAAAACTTAAAGGGAAGAGGGCCCAACCCTTTTGCAGGTGATAACATGAAAGCATAGCAAAAATAGACCCAGTGGGTAAAAAACAAAAGCCGGATGCAGTGGCAGAAAAGGGAATGGAGGTGAAATAGAAAAGTAACATGTTTGGACGATGTTTTGAAAAGGGAATGATATTGATGTTCTTGGGAGAAATATATTTCCAGTTATGAAGACGTGAAAGATTTGTCTCACATAGTACTCTTTTTTCCTACAAGTATTGGAGTCACCTTAATGCAATTGAGGAAGGAAACACACAAGAATAATCACTGGATGCTACTAAGAAACCACCAGGTTAGGCAATGTCATACCTGATTCCACATCAAGAGAGTATTTATCAATAGCCAAGTTCATGGTATGGTAGGCAGTGGTACAAAAGTCTTCCAGAATCATGTACACCGCATTGTTGATGTTAGGAGGGACAGAACTGGCAAACTTCATTCGGCTGTTCACCACAATGCTGCCATTTCTGAAGTTGAGGATTTCTAAGTTCTGGAACCCCGAGAGATTTGACTGTAGATAGGGAACCAGCTACAATACATGAAAAGTAGTGAGTTTATTAAAGGGTTTCACATTTTGTTCAATATATACCCAAACAAAACAAAACAAAAAAACAAGATAAGCCCCTGTCTCGCTTTTCCTAATTGTATTTTATCTACATTTAAACTGTTAATTAACAAAAGTGCAAATTAGCAATGCTTAGACAGTATAAACTAGAAATGCTATGAGATTTTCATAGTGGTGTTTAGGGACCCCATGGAATTCATACATAGTTTTAGACACCCAGAAAGTTTATTTTCTGTTTCACTAAAGGATCACAACAGTGAAGGGATCGTAGGTACCCACAAAACATTAGCTTCACAATAAAATGTGAAAAGAAACGTCAAACTTATTGTAGTCCCATAATTCATGGAATACAATGTTCCTTGTAAATTATTACATCACTCTCATGCCCCTTTTGTGTTTTCCATTTCTTGTATGTTCCTGTCTTACAATTTTCTTACCAACCCTAGGCCATGATATTATTTGTAAATGACAGGAAATGAATGTCCACAGCCGATCCCACTTTCCCTGCTCAGACCTTTTGTGCTGGGGGGGGAGAAGTGAGTCATACATGATTATTCACTAGTGCCCATGTTTCACTTTTTCTGCTTACCAACTCTAAGAATCTTTGCTCCAGAGCTTTATACTCCAAAGAGTTTTTATTAAACAGATCTTCTGAAAACATCATGTTAGTCACTCGGAGGCTGAAGAAAACCACCAAAGCTCCTGAAGTCTGAGTATAACTCAAGTCATCTCCTCCTGTGGGCCACGCCACACTAACCATCTCTGTGGAGTGAACACTTGCAGACATTTCCACATAACTACCAACCTTGCCGTTTTGCTCTGGGACTAGCTCAGGCTGATAGTAATCTGTGCCTATCCGGTCCAGTTCTAATGAAATATCCTGTACACCCATAATTACTTCATCCTCTAGCAGGGTGGAGATTGTGGTTGGAGGCAATTTGGTAGACTGTGTCATGGAAGCTTTCAACCAGAGTCTGTCAGTACTCTGTGGTGTACTTGCCAATGTGTCTTTGGACAACTTCTCCAGGGAAGAAGCTCTTGTCCAAACTCTATCTGATTCTGGCAGTATGGTCCACAAAGGCTGCATATCTGGCTTTACCACTGAAACCTCGCTGTCAAACCATTCATAGTTGGATGACTCGGTAGTTTGTTCCACATCCTCCCTTAGGATGGCACCCGCCTGGTCTGATTCATAAGTAGAGGTTGCTACAGGTGTCCGTAGAAGAGGTGCTTTGGTAACTGTGGCTCTATCATCGTGTTCATATTTTGAGTGCTTACTAATTTGGTCTGCGGAATCCATTTTGTCAACTAAAACTAGTTTCTCATCTTCAATCTCAGCTGGCAAGAGTGAATCGTCGTCTTCAAGCCATGGCTTCAACAGTGGTTCAGTGCTCTCTGATGAAGTGTCGCTCCATGGCCAAGTAACCAGATCCCTCTTTTGCCCAGACCCTGAACCCAAACCACTCTCAAATATTGATTCTTTTTCCATGGATGCATCTGGCAGGAAAGGGTTCACTTCTAATTGGTCTTTGACTTTGGAGGTCAAGGAGTCCAAGCCAAAAGGTATAGAAGAGGTCAGATATGGTGAGGGTGTTAAGGACACATCAGAGTCTTCCATGGGTGGTATTGTTTCTTTTGGCACAGGTTGAGTGAGTGAACTTGAAGGCAGTGAATCAATAGAAAGAAAATCTTCTGACTCTTCAACAGTGGCTAATCCTGAAAATAAAGTGTTCCATTAATTAATCTACAGAGTTGCCAAAATGTATTCCTAGTTCTCCCAGTAAAACTAGTTGCCTGTTTTTTCCCAGTGAAGTTGACAGGGACAATTGTTGGCTTTTGCTTTTCTATATCTAGCAAACAAGAAGAAGATCTGATAATGTGTTTGTAATATGGACAATCCCTCATGAATATTATCTCTTTCTTGAGGATGACAAGACCTTGACTATTGAAATAATCTTCAAACACTTGTGTTCTTTAAAAAAAATTTATGAAAATAAAGAACTGCTGGGAGCAATTTTGACAACAAATACTAAATCCAGCAGTAATTTAGGAGGAAAATTCCCTGAACATTGTGTTTCTCTTTGAATTCTCATTTTCCCTGTTATGTTTTTTGTTCGTCGTCCTTCATATTCACCCAGTGTTCACAATCCTGAACTCATTATTTATATATTTGTTCATCCCCTCATTTCATGTGTGTACTCCACCCCAAGTCACATTTCTTTTTCCTTTCCTCCACAGCATCCAGATCATCAATTTCATTTTCACTTCTTTACCTCAGCTATGGCTGCCATGGGTTAGCTTGTCCCCTTCTCAATACTACTACAAGCAAAAATCTTGAGACTTGGCCCCCACAAGTACTATAACCTAGCTGAATAATCTCATTCGATGCTATTTATTACTCCAATATTTAAGTAAAGTGGTTCTTTAAAAGCAGCAGCAGTAATTTAACTAAACTATATATCTTTCAATATGACCTTCAAAATACCTATTAATTGATTTCCCGCCCCAGCTTCCCAAGTTTACTTCTTATTATTTACCTATTTGGACTCTCCATTCCAACAAATTAAATTGGACGGTTTCCTCTCGCGCACAATTTTACCAAGACATTTTCCCCCTTATGAATGCTACCATTTTCTTTCATAGCCATAGTCTCTTCCTCTCTTTAAAACCCTTGTCATCGGATATAATACAAAGTATGAAAAGGGATTAAAGTTTCTCACCATCTTCTACCAAGTGAGATCCAGAAGTCCTTTCCTCAGAAGCCACAGGCAAGTCAGTCTGAAGCACTGCCGGGGTGACAGAATGAAGAGTCAAGCTGCTAGCCTCTAAAACCTCTGGGGAAGAGCTGAGTCCCATCTTCGAGGGAAAGGCTAATTTGTGTGTAGACACTAAATCACCCAAAGGACTTTCTGACCAGAGTTCCCTGCCAGTGGCTGAGGGAGGACCAGAGCTGAAATCAAGTGGTGGGATACTGCTGGTGATGGAGTCATCTGCTGAGGGCCATGCAGCTTGAAAGGTATTATCCTGGGGGGAAAAAAAGGCTAAATCATATCATAGATAAAAGAAACATATAGAAAGTGATTTTAAATACCACCTGTCTGTCTATATTCCCAGGTTTTCTAGGGACGAGGAGGTGGTGTATTAATAATATTGGGGTTAGGGCAAGACATGGGCTTCAGGATCTAGAGAAAAACTATGTCAGCTCTCTCCTGTAAAGTAAGGACAGATGAGGTAACATATTTAAAAGCCCTCGAACAAAGTGAATGTATGAGAGAAAATGTTTTCTTGCTTTAGATGGTTCATTTTCCTCTGTGTTTTTAGCTTAAATGACTTTAAATACATAGAAGTTACTGTTATCTGTAATTTGTTGGCAAAGATTTAATTACATTGCCCACAGCAGGAAAGAACAACTGGCAATTTTATTCACCATTCTGAAAATATAATTAGTTAATGAAGGCCCTCCTGTTTGGTCAGAAATGTCACCACATCAAAATGTAGTCTGGTTACCTCAGATAAATAGCCACTCCTGTGAAATGGTATCACACTTACAAAACATAAACAATTTCCTCTTTCTAGTGATGTTTTACTAATGTACTACTAACCTTATCTTAAAATGTAGCTTCAGAAATGGAGAAGTATATAGAAACACAATCCTTGAACATATTAATTACTTAATCTTATGAAGAACTGTCTATGCAAAAAAAATACAATGGGCCGGTCGTGGTGGCTCACGTCTATAATCCCAGCACTTTGGGAGGCCGAGGCAGGTGGATCATGAGGTCAAGAGATCGAGACCATCCTGGTCAACATGGTGAAACCCCGTCTCTACTAAAAATACAAAAATTAGCTGGCATGGTGGCGCACACCTGTAGTCCCAGCTACTCGGGAGGCTGAGGCAGGAGAATTGCTTGAACCCAGGAGACGGAGGTTGCGGTGAGCCAAGATTGCACCATTGCACTCCAGCCTGGGTAACAAGAGCGAAACTCCGTTTCAAAAAAAAAAAAAATACAATGATCAGCCAGCACGGTGGCTCATGTTTATAATCCCAGCACTGTGGGAAGCTCAGCTAGGAGGATAGCTTGAGTCCAGGAGTCCAGCCTGGGTAACATAGCAAGGCCCCAACTCAACAACAACAAAAAATTAGTCAGGCATGGTGGCACATACCTGGAGTTCTAGCTACTTGGGAAGCTGAGGCAAGAGGATCAGTTGATCCTGGGAGTTCAAGACTACCATGAGCTATGATCGAGCCACTGCACTCTAGCCTGGGCTATAGAGCAAGACTCTGTCTATTAAAAAAGGAAAGTTTAACAATAAGGCTAAGAGGTAACATGGACATGGTATTTGGCAGGAGTTTATGTATTTCAATCTATTCTGGGTTATGAATAACAAAGAAAAGTACAATGCACATAGAAAAAACTCAGAAAATGTTTCCTGGGTGTATGAAAACTGAAAAAGAAAAAGAGAATAGAACAATCCTTTTCAGTCCTCAGAAGGCATTTGAATCACATGGAAGCTTTAGAAAAACACCAATTCCCAGGCCTGACACTCAGAGATGTTAACTTCATTGGTCTGGGAGACACAGAACTGGATACTTGTGAAAGTTCCCTAGTAGAGGAAATGCCCGAATCATGTTCTGGGCATAAAATAACAGCCTGGGTTTCTAATATACTTCTTCAATTTCTGAATGCTTTTATGTCTTATCCATATTTATAAATCTATCAAAAGACTAGAATTCATGTTGTAGCTATGAACACAATGAAAACTACGAATAAGAAACGCTGAATCTAACCTTCTCTCCCTCCTCCAGGGGACTCCTACCAGCAATAGTAAATTTGCGCTGATAGTCTCAAGCCTAATATGCATTTTGAACAAAAGCACAGAATTTTAGAGTGGCTAGCTAGAGTTTAGTCTATGGTCATGAAATAAAGCAGAGCATACTGGCCTATGGAGAGAGCTAATCCAAAACAAGGTGATACGGTTTGGCTGTGTCTCCACCCAAATCTCATCTTGAATTTCCACGTGCTATGGGAGCAACTCAGTGGGAGGTGATTGAATCATGGGGGCAGGTCTTTCCCATGCTGTTCTCGTGATCGTGAATAAGTCTCATAAGATCTGACAGTTTTAGAAAGGGGAGTTTCCCTGCACATCTACCACCATGTGACACGTGCCTTTCACCTTCCCCCATGATTGTGAGGCCTCCTCAGCCACATGAACTGTTAAGTCCATTAAACCTCTTTCTCTTGTAAATTGCCCAGTCTCAGGTATGTGTTTATCAGCAGCATGAAAAAGGACTCATACACAAGGGCTAATTAGTCTGTTATGCTTTGTCTTCACAGTGCCCCTTGTCTCTCTGTCAAAGATCTGTGTGAGGAGGCTTTGAACTACACACTTTCCCAGTCACAGAGGGGGAGCCATGGGGCAGGAAACCACCGGGCATGTCTACTTTGTCCCTTCCCTAGGGACAAATGCACAGGAAAAATAGTAATTACAGAAGTCTCTATAGAGGATTACCCACAGTTTCATCTACCATCTTTAAACTAAAAGCACTCTCTCAAGTAATCTTATTTTCTTTTGTGGAATTCATTACAACATCACTTCCTGCCTTGTCCATGTTGTTTTAACTAGTTCCTATTTTAAGTGGGTCACCATGCTGATTATTCTGTAATTGTCACCACCATTTCAGATCCTTCTCTTCCTGCCCTCTGCCCTAGGAGGAGGACCCCTGTGAGCTGCACTAACCCTGCCCCCTTGCATTTGTTTTTGGTTTGAGTTTGGCCAATGAGAAGCATAAGCAGATCAAAGGACAGGAGGAAGGAGAGGTCAGGGTATTTCTTTCCTGCTTCCTCCAAGCCTCAAAACTATGTGTCCAGCATAGCTGTGCTCTTCCCTCCACAATTACAGCTCCAGCTCTCAATAGGCTCTGGTAACAGCATTTCCTCCCCTTCCTCTGTAATCCAATGGAGAGTAGTGGTAATGGCTTTCCACTGGTGTTAGTCTCTGTATACCTCAGCATTCTTCTTTTGCTCCTTTAACCCTATATGCACCTCCATTAATAGATTCAGCTAGATGATTCTGTTACTATTGAAACCCTGGATGAGCGATATTATGCAAATGCACCATCACTTTACAGTATAGTGCATTTAAAAGTTCATTAAAGTTTAAATTATTTCTGTCAAAAAGTGATTTGACAATCCAAAATGAAATATAAATGCCCAGCGAATAAGGAATGAGAATCAGTTAAAACAACAACATGAACCAAAAATGATGTCACTCTGGCTAAATGTAATTAGAAATTAAAAATCTGGAAAGGAAAAAGGAAAATGATAAGTGTATGATGCAATGTTAGCAAACATTTTTGGCAACGTACCTTTGGCTAAAAAAAGAAATAGAAGCAAGATATATCTAGGAATTAGACTGGAGTCTAATAACCAAATCTCCTGAATCTGTTGAAGTGAAATGTATGAGAGAAAAAGCAAGACAAGGAAGCCAGAGGCCATCATCAAATGACAAGATACAATTGCAAAACACCGTATAGAGAAAGAGAAATATCTCAAGACAGGAAATTCCCTTTTAGGAAATCCCCTAACAAAAGTGAACCTGAGGATAGTAAGGCATGGTTCATGATTCGGGCCGAAAATTTTAAAAAAAAGATATAATTGGGAGATGACCTCTGGCATTTTTCAAGTAAACTTCAAGAGCATGCAAGCCTAGGCAACAGAGTAAGACTGTGTCTCTACCAAAAACATAAAATAAAATTAAAAAATTTGCCGTGTGCCATGAACTATATGCCTATAGTCCCCAGCTACTCTGGAGGCTGAGGCAGGAGGATCACTTGCGCCCAAGGAGTGAGAAGCTTCAGTGAGCTGTAATCACACGACTGCACTCCAGCCCAGGTGACAGAGCGAGACCCTGTCTCAGAAAACACCGTACAATTACCAGGAGTAGAGTTAACCTTACATAACTCCATGCAGTAGAGGTGGCTTGCAATTGCCAACCTGTGTGCACAGTGCCCCTACATAACTTAGCACCAAATAGACATAAAGCTGGTTCATATTTCTGCCTAGAGGGTCTAAGTTATTCCGAGTCCTCAGGAATGGAGGAGATAGAGCAAGAGCTCACTTCCAGAGAAATGGAAGACAACAAATTAAAGTCCAGAAAGTGAAAGGCAAAAAAATGAAGTAAAAATACAAGCTCTTGTCTTGCCAAAGGCTCACGTGCTTTATGAGGCCATCCTTTGGTGTGTAAAAATCTTATGTTGGGAAATAGGGCTGAGCATGCACATGTATGTGAACATAACAAAAGTATCACATCTTACACTTAGAAGGACTCAAGAACACATGTAGCAAAACATGCCTATTAAAGACAAGGAACTGAGGGTCAAAGAAGTGAAATGTTCGAGGATACACAAAAAAAGGGAAAAAACGAGACTGGAAGAGGCAGAGTCTAGGTTTCTCAGTGCCAGTGCTTTTCCCACTAACAGCTATTCATCCAGAGGTCTCTACAGGTGTATATTTCCAAATGGTGAAAGGATTCTCCCAGGAGAAACTTGAGCAAAGAGCCTTGGCCGTCCATGCGCTCATTTGGGTTAGCATAATTCACAGGCTTATAACGCCCAGGTCAACACAGATGGAGAGAGTACGGGAGGCCATCTCCTAATATTTAAAAATCTGCTCTATGGAATATGGAGGTTGTTTGCATGGAAAAAAGTTTCTATCCTTCCCCCTTATTTTTCTAGGATTGAAAACTGCATATGAAGTCAGAGAAAAGAAGGCCATTTTCTCAATACCAAGTTCTGTTCTTCAATAAAGTTGTTACAATGATGATGATCAAACCACATCAGGAAATTAACTTTTTTCCTTTTAATTATCTAAAACTACTTCCAGAGATGTGTTGAAGCTACTCATATATTCTTGAAAATTCCAAATGTACTTTAAAGAAAAATTGAAATGAGATAGCTGAAGCCCTTTAAACCATGCTTAAGAAGTTGAGTTTTATCAGACAGGGCAATAATCGGACACACATTAGGAAAGCAGCTGAATCCTCAATGAAAAAGAAGTCCTCAAGCTGTAATATATTGTTTCAGTGTATCTATAAATGAAATGCCTTTTCACTTCATAAACATTAAAAGTAAAACTGGGGAGGACGATCCAAGATGGCCGTTTAGGAACAGCTCAGGATTGCAGCGCCCAGTGAAAGTGCGGAGGGTGAGTGGACGCCGCATTTTTATTGCCCCACAGACTAGGAAATTCCCGGGCGGAGGAGCTCCACGGTCGCCAGTGCGGCTGTTTCGGCCAGCGCGGCTGCTTTGCCCCACGCGGCTGCTTTGTCGGCGCCCCGGAGCCGCGGTTCTCCATACAAAATGCACCGGTCCGGGGGCCCTTTTGGCTGGTGATTGGAGCCACGGGAAGTGGCCCATTCGCCGGTTCAAAAAGCGGACTGAGCAGAGAACCAGGACAGTAGACTCCAGGGCAA